GTTTGGGGCAACCAGCCATGTCTGAGTCATTTTCTTGTATCTTTGACACTAAGAAAAGGGACTCTGGGAGCTGTAAGAAATAATGAAATGATGTATCAAATGTTAATTCTTTGACTTCCACAAGACCATTTATGCAGTGAGAGGTGCACTTATGGAGTAACAGCCCAGTAGCTTGAAAGAGTCAGTAGAGCTTCCAAAGATATGGAAAACTGATAAAGATCCAGTCCTCAGCTCAATGTAAGCAAAATCGATTTCCTGGCTCAAAGTTGAACGACCTGTCTTTAAAAAGCTGACCTTCTTTAGAGAAATGTGACAAAATCTCACAGCTTGAAACAGTAAATTCTGTAAGTGGTTCCCCAGAGTAGGGATCCAGGGTGTTCCTGCAAGAGATGAGCCTGGACAAGCTGGAGGGAGAAGGTTGACACAGCAGGTCCAGAAGGATCAGAACATGTTAGAATGGCAATGGGCACTGATACAATGCAGAATGAGAACTTAGACACTGACCTCGAACATATGCCTGCTGCGCTCTGCTGGAGATAATAGCTGATTGTCTAGGATTTTAATCGAAGAGGTGATGCTAATGAACAACCTTCTCTGACATTGTCATTTAAATGGTAGAGAGAAACCCCGTGCTTGGCATCCCCCACCTCCATTTCTGCCTGAATGCTGGAGGTGCTGCTTCCAGATACCATCCAGCAGACACACACACACACACACACACACACACACACACACACACACACACACACACACACACACACACTATTGTCATGACAACTGAGGAATAGTCTAAATAAAATACACACTGAAGCCGTATCTGGAATGAAGCCAGTAATTCAGACATTTTGTTAAAGACTTTTTTTTTCCACTTGTTTGTATACCTAGCAGCAACAAAAACCCATCTGTCTACACTGTAGTCAGTACTCCTGCCTAACTAAGCACTGAATCTTGGGATCTTAGGACACTAAAATTAAAGCACTGGTATTTAAGGCATACATTTTTTTCAAAAGAGCTCTCTGGTTGGAGTTCGCCCAACTTCTCAAGGTTCTCACCCTTGGATTAGTTCCTAGGACTCTAATCCAGGAGTCATAGGAACTAGGCCACAATAAATATAAATTAAAATAAAATAGAATAACTGCCAAACCAGTCTAGAATAAAGTTCTGGATGGATGGGCTTGGAGGGCATCACGCTAAGTGAAGTAAGTCAGAGAAGGACAAATACTGTATGACATTACTTATATGTGGAATCTAAAAAAATACAAAAACTAGTGAACATAAGAAAAAAGAAGCAGAGGTACAAACTACTGGCTGTAAGATAAGCTAAAAGGATGTACTGTACAACATGGGAGTGTAGCCAGTGTCCTGTCTGATAGGAGAGTCTTTGTTGCTGGGAAGCTCTGGCCACTGACAGTCTAACAATGTGATTTATGATGGGGGCCTCAAGGCCACGCAGTATCAGAGGGAACTGATGCCTGAAGGTATCAGCCTGACCTCTGTAATGCTAGAGACGAAAGGTCAGCCACATGAACAGTGTGTGATCAAGTCCCAATAAAAGCTCTGGCCCCCAAGGGCTCCAGTGAGCTTCCCTGGTTGGCACTCCTCTGTGTGTATTGTCACACATGGTGACTGGGAGGAGGTGATCCTGTCTGTGATTACACAGGGGCAGAATGAGCAGAAGCTCCACATGTGGACCTGTCCTGTGGACTCTGTCTCTGTGTCTCTTTCCTTGGCTGATTTTAATTTCCATCCTTTTGCTGTAATAAGACTGTAATAATAAGTATTACACTCCTGAGTTCTATAAGTCATTCCAGCAGATGATCAAACCTAAGGGTGGTTGTGAGGACCCCAAAATCTGCAGCCACCTGGCCTGAAGGGAGGATGGTCCTAGGACCATCAAACTTGTGGCTGTTGCCTGAAGTAAGGGCAGTCTTGTGAGGACTGTTCCCTCAAACTGTACAGTTGGAAAAACCCACAGCATAGTCTGGAGATGTTGGTTATGTGGGAAACTGTCTGCAAGCCTGGAGAGTCTGGACATGATGCTGTAGGCAATTAAGTTCTTGAACAAAAGAACAAGATGGGCAAAGTATAGTTTCACCTCATAATAGTGCAAAATGCAGGGGCAAGGAGATGAGTTAGGGGACTTCTTTTGCCTAAATGCAGGAAGATGAAGGTCTGGACTGGGGCTACGGCTAAGAAAGGAGAAGGCTGTGTGGATAATAACGTTTAGGAGGGCACGCACTGTGCAGGCATTGTTGAGTACTCTGTACACTTCTGTGGGTGTGTGCTCCTCTGTTTTGTATTTTTAAATGTTCCTGGTCCCTGATTTACTTTCATTTGGTCACACTGTAAAACACACACACATTTTTGAAAACATACCCAAACACCAGGAATTAGAAGGGTATAAATAAGGGGGACTTAAGCGCTGAAAGAATAGCCTATGCTTCAGAACAAAACAATACCAATAAATTATTGAAAATTCCTTTGTTCAACACACAAAGATGTTTTGTTTTTAATGGGAAAGATTTAGAGTTAAGTTCCTGTGCTGCCTGAGGCAGGGCCTGGCTTCTCTCCATATTAATCCTCAAAACAGCTTATAAGGTGGACCATGTTATTATCAACTATTGTACAGATAGGGGAGAAAAAACAGAAGCACAGAGAGTAATCAATTTCCTCCAAATCACCCAGCAGGCAGAACCGAGATTTGAACCCAGCTGGAATCTGACAGCAGAGCCTGACTCATAACTGTTCTATTGCTTGAGCTCTACTACATGTAAGGCACTGTGGTAAAAAGATCAACAATATTTTCTGGCTAACTGGATAAAAGAGGAGAAAGAAAGGGTAAAGGACAACTCCAAGGTTTAGTGCACTGATAAAAGGGAAAGATGTGGATGTCTTCTATTTCACCATGACCAGACAGAACACAAGCCCGGGTCCATATCTGCCACTACCACCGGGAACTTGCCTAAGTCACTTAACTTTCCTTGGGCCTCCAGTCCTTTGGTCAGGGTAATCCCTAAATTCCCTGCCAGCTATGAGAAGCAGCAGAGTGAGCAGCCAGCAGCATGAGCGCTTGATCACACAGGCTTGGGTCCTGGCTCCTCATTTCCTGTGTGGCCTTGGGTAGGTGACTGAGCCTTGGCATACTCATCTTGTAAATGGGGATTACAATATCTAGGTCAGAGGGAGGCTGTGAGGATATTTACTATAATGAAATAATCCATGGGAAGCCCTTGGCACAAAGCCTGGCATCCTGCTAAGCACTTAATACATGATGGTTTTATTGTGAGTATTCCAGCTCTAACATGCTACGGGATAATGCAGAACCACCATTCCAGAGAATGCCATTGGCCAAACTCAAAGGTGAATGGATAATTAATTTATCAACCCTTACCAATGAAAATATAAGAGAAGCTTTTATTAACCACCCTTATGCAGATGTACATTCTGTATTCTACTGTGTCACATTTGTTATTGTCCGGCACCATGGTAATTAATACATATGCTAAGTATGCAAGTCCACACTGATGCATAACCAAATTGTGCAACAACAATAAAACGGATAATATTATAAAATGAAGATTCAGCATCACATCAGACCTTGACCAAAACACAAATGAATCAGCACTTCCCTAAAGTGTGATGGGACAGAACTTTGGTTCTAATCAAGTCCTAGATGCCTAAATTACTTAATCCATTTTCTGTCAACTCTAAGCAAAATTAACTTCAAATTTATCCAAAGGATTATCTCAATTTTCTTTTTTTTTACCCCATACTTGCCATCAGAGATAGCATTATGACCTCATCCACATTTCTGTATAATGAGCTTACTCTTGGTGAATGAAGGAAAATCCTTTAAACCTGGGGATTGTTGAAAATAAGCATCCCTGCTTACTGTGTATCCAGTGCCCTATATTTACCCATTAACAGAGATCAGTTAAAAACCAGCCTATTTGGGTCTAAACACCTGTTCATTTATCCTGAATTAGAGGCACAGGGAAGAAACGCCCAACCAGAGATTAAAGAGTGAAATGCAAAGCTAATACAGTTTAATTAAATACACATATATAACATATATGATAGCAACTTTCATTTCATAATGCGGTGTCTTCTAGTAATGAAAAGGAAACACAGGGATTGCATGAGCACAAGGGCTGTATGATAGTTCCATCGACATTAACCTCAAAATGCAGTATTTTTCAGTAACGAAGGAAAGAAAAGGAATTAAGCAGTTGCAGTGACGTGCATGAGCAGGAAGTGAGGTAATGGAGGTAAAATGGGAGAAGCATCGTTCCCTCTTCTACATGGTTCCTGGTCTCAGTTTTCTTATTTATCACTAGACTCTAAGTTCCCCACAGGTAGAGATCCTGTCTGTCATGTTCAGCCTTATAACCTCCAGAGCTCCCGTGCTAACACAGTGCTGGCACATATTGGATTCTCAGTAACCATGCATTGTATAGAAGAATTTTAATATTTTCTAAATCTATTCTCGGTTTGCCTGATAGCTAATGAAACATCGTCGTTTTTCCCATCTCAATTTATACAACTAAAGTTGGAATTAGAAATTGCAATGATTATTAATATTATTTTATCTAATTATTGTTCCATGTTAGCCACCTCATCTTTCAATAGTCACCTCCCTCCCTCACTGGCCACAGGGAAAGGGAGAATGTCAATGTGAATACACGGGCAGTTAGAAGTCACTGAGCTAAGTGCCTGAGAGTCTGATCACAAAAATAGAAGCATAAAACCAGTTTCTTCCCTTAGTATTGATTAAAGATGGTTCTCAAATCAAATCAATAGACATTTTCTGGGTGCCCACTATGAGAAAAGCCATGGGCACAATGAAGACTACTAAGATTTGCTTCCTAAGGACTTATGACTTGGGAGAGTTAGAAATTTTATATAAATTATTTGCTCCCATTAATTCCTAGCTCTGTTCCCAATGTGATTCAACATTATTCCATGTCTAAGGGACTGCCCATTCATCCACAACCACTCACATGCATCTCCGATCATCTCATTTTGTAGACATAGAATGATCTGTAATTTCATCAAAGCTGGTGTACAGCTGTTCAGGACGTCCACTACCAGTTCGGCATGCTGGCACTGGAAAGTGAAGCCCACAATGTCACTGGAAAGGGGCAGTGAGGTAGAAAAAAGTTAAATCAGCCAAAATATTCGGTAAGACCTGATTAAGCAGCGGTCCCTCCTTGTTCAGCACAATTTTTTGAAGCTCTCAGAATTCTAAGCCAGGGATACCAGGAGGGGTGGGCCGGTTAATTGCTGTAGAAGATATTCTTAGTTGTCTGATACGTTTGGTTGGTTTTCTGTTTGGTTTTCGGTTTTCGGTTTGAGGGGTTTTGTTTTTGTTTTGCTTAGATTTGTCTTAGACTGTACTCAAAGCCAGGCAGTTTGTTTGATGAGAACTCCGCCCCCTAACATCTGGCCTTGCCCCGTTTCTGTCAATCAAGTGACTGGGCTTATATAACAAGAGATTTACATAGCTTGAGAGGGCTGTGCAAAGCTCCTTTAGAGAAGTCCCAGGTCGAGGTTAGTTTGCTTGCACATCATCCTGATTCCTACCTTCATTCTAGATCTTTTATCTCTTGGTTGTTAGCAGGCCTTTCATTTCTTCAGATAAATTACTTTGAGTTTATACTAGACTCTGTGCTGGAGAGAGGCTCATCTGCCTTCCCCCAGCCCTGGGAGAGTCTCCTCCGGTGCCAGGGCAGGATCCTGAGTGTGTCGTTAAGCTCTGGGCTCACTTTCTCCATCAGTAAAACAGGGAGCGTCCCTTGACCCCCAGATTGGGACTGACTCTTTTGAGTGCCTGCGGCAGACTGCCTTTGTGCAAATCATTTAGAATGTTTCAACCTCACAGCTTACAACTTCGATTTATAGGTTTTTGTCTGAACTTTCAAAACTTGCCCCCAGGCAAGGCGACCTCGATTCTGCCCCATCACTCCTGGGGCCACTGTATCCTTTGCTGTGGAGAGGAAGAACAATATGGCCTATTTACTTCTTTGAAACACATTCCCTAAGATGAATAAATATACCTTCCCAAAACAATTTCCTACTGTTTTTGCTAAACTGGATACCTTTTAGCTCTAAGAAATCGATTTAAAACTTTTTTTAAAAAGTGGTGGGGGCAGAAGGACTTAACTAAATCACGCCAACGTATCTAATTAACAGCTTGCCTAAGTGGTAAACACACTGCCACTTTACTCAAACGCCTGCATTTTCTTCTTTTGCAGATGTTATTTCCTCTCCAGCTATGTTGCCATGCACAAATTATGTAATACTGTCGATGGCTTCATCTCTCTGACTTTTGAGTTGAAATTCCAACTCCAGTTGTGTTAATATACCCGAAAAAGGTGGATGCACTCAGGTAACTCAGCTTGGCAAGGTCAGCCTTCCCTCAGGTCATCAGCAGCTTGTTTCGGTAACATGGCTGTTTTTCAGGTATGAATTAAAACAGTTAATTATCCTCAAGGAAAAGGACACATGGGGCCCAATCCTCATGTCTGTGGCATCATTTGTCACCACTGACATTCTCGATCGTTTTGTCCTCCACACAGTAGTGAGGTGGTGTTTGTATTGTTTGCCTGGCCGTAATGCATTTGTACCAAGCCCAGCACATTCCCTAACCTGGCTCTCCTGGGACCAATGTTGAGTGGGGTCATGTGTGCTGTTAGGGGCAGGGAAACAAGGAGGCTTAACCAGAGGAATGGAAGCTCTGCCTGTAATCCCATTCACACTAGGCTTTACTGACCCAGCACTCTGGTCATTAGATTGATGTCTCCTCAAACTCGAGGCAGCACTATGGAAACCAAGACCTTTCAGGGTGAGTCAAGCAGGCCCAGCCTTACAGGGATTTGCAAGTTAGTTGGTATAAGCAGTGAGTATTGTTAGAGAGCTCTGGGACTTTGAACTCTGGTGGGGTGGGGTTCGTGGAACCCTTTGTTCCCAAGAGCAGGCTATTACCTTCTTCACAGGGAGTTTGGTGGTACATGAACAATTGTACCTGCCTCCTCTAGTCTTGGGGAATTTAAAAAAATCTAACGTTACTGGAAGAAGCAAACCAACTAAGATCTCCATTCTGGCCAGAGGGCAAAAACCATCGGAGTGATTTACTGGGCACATTTAGCACTTGTTTCACTTGCAGGAAGCTTGGGACCCCCCGGAGGGATAAAGGATGAATATTTATTGGAGTCTAATAATAGTGGGAAAATCAGATTTTGTATTTTTTCAGTGAAAGAAATAGGGTGATATTTTTATATCCCCCTCAGGAATTTCTGTCTCAATAGGTCATTTTTGATATATATATTCATAACCTACCCTGGTAATTAGCTAAAACTTACAAATGCACCATGACCTGCCTATATTGCTGTTTCTTGTGTTTGTAGTTAACTGAGGAATACAAAATGTAGTCAGGCTTCCGATCAATATTTACAAAGCAGTTACCATGTCCCAGGCACTGGGGACGCAAAAATGAATAAAATTCAGTCCCCACACATAAGTAACACACAATCCTGTTAGAAAAACAGAAATGTATACCATAAATTGCATGTGTGTGCCAGCTGAATATAAAATCCTGGCTTCCTCTGGCCAGGAGAAGGTTTAAAGGGTTACACAGGAAGGAATGGCATGTCTCTGCCCAAAGGGGGGTCATTTCAGATAGATTTGGAAAGGCACTCATCCCACTGAAAGGAAGAGAATAACTCCTCTGTGTCCACAGAGCAGGACAGTCAAGGACTCCAGAGGCTGATAAACAGAACTACCCAGATTAGCTTGATTCTTCATTCTTTTTTTTTTCAGGTTTTTAAATTTTTTTATATTTTAATTATTATTATTTTTTATGGATGTACTGGGGATTGAACCCAGGACCTCATGCATGCTAAACATGCACTCTACCACTGAGTATACCCTCCCCTCCATTCTTTATTCTTGAGTTCCATCTAAGAATATGGATTAAAAACATGGGCCCTCTCCCAGAAAATGCATCAATCTCATACGTGATTTCAGGGATTCATGGCCTACCTGAAGCCCAGACCTGGACTGCCCAGGGCACCAAATTTAAATAAGCAGACCAGAGCCAACAATAAACATCAGTACTTTGGAGTGAAAGGGCATCTAACGGAAGTTAAGCAGAGAAGGCCATTGACGGAAACAGTGGTGTCGTCAGAATTGAGCTGGACTGTGGGGGCTGGTCATCCAGAGCAGTGTCAGTCACCACTAGTTAATAAAATATCAATGCAAATGCAGCGAGAAGGAGAAAACTGTATTCACCAAAACTCCCCTAGAGGGGCTTCTACCATATATGATTGATGTGGAATGCTTAGACAACCTGCCTGGGAAGGAGACTGACAGCCCTAAAGGACATGCTGTAAAATAAAAGATTGTCCCCCTCCAGCCTTCCAAGGAAGGCAGATCTGATTAACCGCAGCAACTCTGGTTCTGCTTAGTAGAGTTTGCAGATTGGGGACCACAGTTGAACTGCTTGGGGTGTGGGGAAGGGTGTGGGAGCCTGGGAGCCTCCAAACCTACACAGTTCCTGCTCAGCCCCTCCTCTCCATCATCACCACCACCATCTTCATTATCATCATAATCAACATCATCACTAACACTTATTTTGCTCCAGGCACTGGTCTAAACACTTTATGTGGACCAACTCACTGAATCCTCACAACCATCCTATGATGCAGGTATCACCAATGGAGGAAGAGTGGAAGAGCTGAGATTTAAATTCAAGGAGGTCTAAATCTAGAGCCCGCTTTCTCAGCTACAGATACTGACAACATTCAAATAAAATGGGGTTTTTTTTCCAAGTAAAATAGTTTTGAAAGGCAAACAAATTTTGATCTTTCCAGGATCCACATGCCTTGGTTTGAACCTATATGTCTTAGACTATCCTTAAGTCAGAGAAAATGGGAAAAGAAACAAAAGAGCATAGTATCCTAGAAGCCAAGAAACAAAAAGAAAAGAGTGATCAACTTCTCAAAAATTTTAGATTCACCAACTAAGGTAAGAACTGAAAAATAACCTCTGGTGTAAGTCTTGGCCTTGGTGAGGGCAATTCTTGTAGAATGATGGGAACAGGAGCCATACCACAATGGGCTGATCAACAAATAAGAGGTGAAAAGAAATCACTGAGCGCATATTGCTTTTCAACAAGCAAGTTCTTTAGCTAGGAGGACAGAAACCAAATTTTCTTCAGGATAAGGAAGTTCAAATTAAGCCACCCCCAATCCCTCAACCCTACCTCCCACTCCCACCACTCTCCCATCCCAACCTTGCTCCTTCGTAGGAGAACTAACATTTGCAGCACCCCTTTTAAGAATCAGGTACTAAGTTCCTCATATTCATTATCTCACTTCATTTTCACACTAGCCTTGTCAGGATTATTTAGAGATTCAAAGAGATTGAGTCACACAGCCCAGAAAGTGGAAGAAACCAAAGCTGCACTAAGGACGGCCTCGTTCCAGAGCTCTTGGGATTTGAATTACATGAAGGAAAGGAAGACTGCATATATAGGTAAACTGAGGTGACGATGCAAGAGCCAAAGAAGAGACTGCAGGTACCAAATCACCGATGCAGCAAGAGCCATCAATGTTTTCCCTTTCTGTTGGGCCCTTCCTTCAACATTCCACCTCCTAAATTACTGTAAAAAGGAAACTCATTGACCACTTCAGATATGGCCGTATTTCTCTTCTCTCTTTTAGAGCAAAACTCCTAGCCTAGATTTGCTGTCTCCTCTTTCTCTTGTTCTATTGTCCCCTAAATACTCTCCAGTGAAGGCTTTTTTCTCCTCAACACTCCACCGAACTGCTCTTGTGAAGGCCACCAGGACCCTCCGCATTGCCACATCCAGCGGTTGATTTAAGAATCAAGCTCATCTTACTTGACTAGAAGCAGCATTTAACACAGTTGATCACTCCCTCCTGAGGGAGACACTTTTCCTGCTTGGCTTCTGAAACAGCACCTAATCTTGATTCCAGCTGCTCCTTCTCAGTCTCCTTTGCAGGCTTGTCCTCTCCATGCCCTTGACCTCAACATTGAGGGACCAGAGAGCTCATGCCTAAGCTTGCCCCTGCTGCCTCTCACTTTTTACTTTATCTTCTACTTCCCTGCCTCCCTGTCCCACTCCTCCACTGACCCCCTTGCTGTCCCTCCAACTCCAAGGATGCTCCTGCCTGGGTGCCTCCGGACTCCTACCCCCAGATGCCCCTCACTTCATTCAGGGTTCTGACCACACCACAGAAAACAGCAGCCCCAGTCACCCTCTCCCTCCTCACGTGGCTTTTTCTCCCAGCACTTACCACCACCTGATACACTATATAACTATTCGCTAGTTTGTACATTTTCTGTCTTCCTTTGCTAGATTCTGAGCACCACATGAGCAGAGAATCAGTGTGTCTTGTGTACTGCTGTGTTGCCTGCCTAATACAATGCCAGCACATAGTAAATAATTAGTTAAGTATCAGTTCGATGCCTAAATGAAAGGAGGCAGCAAGATGCGATTCAGAACTCAAGTGGAGAGGCTGGCCTTGGAAAGCAGAAGGCACAGGCCCTCTTCTGAGAAAAGAAGAAACAAGGTGAAGATAGGCCTTCATTTGATAAGTTTGGTGATAGCTGGAAGTGGGGAACGCTGGTCAGTTTCACACGCTGGAGCCCATCATTTGGAAGGCGGGATGGTGGAGCAAGGTGATCCATTGAGAGTGAGGACAGATGGGATTAAGAAGGTTAATGTAAGGCAAGCAGTAAAGGTTAGGAATTACCATTGAGGCAACTGAGGATAAATAAAAAGACTGCCACACAGTTGTAGCCTAAATGGCCCAGAACATCCAGGTTGATGGCTGGAACTCACACACCTAGATCTCGGGACAGATGGAGCATTAAAATTCCAGGTTTGGAAATCACTGACACATAGGTAGTGATGGAAGCTGAGAGCAGGAGCTCAACCATAGGGGGTTTAGAGCAAGTGAAAATCATGCCAAGGACAGCCCCCAGGAAACTGTCAGCATCCAAGGTGTGTATGACAGAGGCAGAGCTGCTAAAAAGACTGTGGGGGAGCCTGCTGGGCAGCAGGAGGTGAAGAGGAGAGAGGGAGTAGGGAAAGCCAGGGAGGAGAGAGCTTCAAAAAGGAGGAAGGAGTCAGAGGTGTCAAATGCTGCAAAGAGGTCAAAGAGAAGAACCAATTATTCGAATGGGTTACTAAAGAATTATGAGTTTGGCACTTATCTCGCTACTAGATGTTTACAGTTTTCATTGCATTAAAATAATGCTCAGTTTACTTGTTGAACTGCTAGTTAGGGCAAGCAGGGATGCACATTAGTGTCCACCAGTGAGCTTTTAAAATACTAATGCCTGAATATTCCTCCTGAATAATTATAGCAGAATGCCTGAGAGGTGGGGTCCAGGCATGAGTTTATTGTGAAAGGCCCAGGGGATTGTAGCATGCAGCCAGGATTGATCAGTACCTTGCTGGGGGAAACCAGGTCTTCTGCAATAACCACATGGGGAAACCCCATGCCCAGCACATGCTGGGCCACCCTAGCCCACTCAACAGAGCAGAGGACAGAAAGCTCTGGTCCTTAAGATAATGGGAACAATCTGCTGGGATGCTGGTGGACCTTGCCTAGGCACTTATATGATGGTTACCCCCTGTGGCAGGTACCCAGTTCCCATTTGCTTCCTTGGTTTGGCAGATCCTTCAAACAAAGATCCTGGTCTATTCACGTCGTCGTCGTCGTCGTCATCATCATCATCACCATCATCATATCCACTGAGCTGTTTACTGTACCAGGCACTTGCTAAGAGCATGACATGCCTTAACTCATTTAATTAACTCATCTAATATGACACTCCTACGAATTAATCCCTATTTCATGAGATAAAGAAGCTGAGGCTCATAAAGTGACGTGCCCAAGGATCACAAAGCTAGAAAAAGGCAGAGCTGGGACACTAATCTAGCCCAACACAGCCCAAGCTGTAAACCATGTCTGTACCACACTGCTCCACTCCACTGCCAGGCTGAGTCCTCTTCCTGCCTGAGCACCACCCCCTGCAGCTTCCTAGGAGGGCTGCTCTCCCAGCTCCACCTGCCCTGAGGCTGGGCACTTCCCTGCAAGACTGTCACACAGCTGCCTTATATTAAATCCTTTCCTTGGCATTACATGTACGGATTCGTCTTCTACCTTCAACCTTTGACACACATTGACTTCTGTTAAAGGGGCTTGAGTTATCAAAATTCTAGTGCAAATGAGAACTGACCCTTAAAAACTCATGCAATCAGAACACAGGATTTTAAAACAAAGATGTAAAATTGTTATTTCCATAGCTTCAGCAATTAGCTCTCAGAAAAGAGCATTCCAGAAAAACAAGTCAAATAGAAATGCATGAACTAACTAAATTGGCCTTTATTATAGACATTGTACTTCAATAAAGCATTGCTTACTATAGAGCAGGAGGTGGGTTTTTGGTTTTTCATTCATTAGGTCTTGGGTCCTTTCTGCCACAAGTGCTTCCACGTGTTTCCTGTACTTCTGCACTTACAAGTCCATCACAAAGAGAAATTAGTTCATGGGAACACTTTGCTCCCTGTGCATTAATCTCTAGCTCTTTGAAAGCTCTTAGAAAGCAGGGGCCCCATAGAGGGGCCTTGGCTTGTAATTATCATCCCCTTAGGATCCAGTAAGCAAGCCAGCTATGAGGGGGTGCACTCCTGAGACTTGCTCTGAATGCTCTGGTAAATCCACACCTGCGTGGGCGCAGTTAGTGAGGACTGGGAAGTCACCCAGGCTTACCAGAGACAGCATCACGTCCACTGGACAACTTTGATTGGATTCATCTTGCATAAAAGCTTCTTTACTTGTTCAGACGTGGGTCTTCAGGATGCGTTGTTTTTCCTGCATCTCCTAATGAATTGTAGTAATCAAGATCAACAGTCATGCACTGGTGTACCGGTATTCGGAAAAGAACTGCAGAACTGAACAATTCGGAATCACCTATTTCTGGGTTTCTCTGTCTTTTCTAACCTTTGCCCACCATCCAGGAAGATTTGGTTGAACTTTACATTCAGTGGTTTTAACTGCTAAATAAATATGTGTGATTTTTGTTCATTTTACAAATCTGAGATTTGATAATAAAATGCGTTATGCTTTCTGAGATCACATAAGATAAGTATCTTTTAGGGGACCCACCCCAGTTTTGATATGCAGCTTGTGCCTACCCCCTTGGGCTCACCGATGTAGTATCCTTTTTTAATTTTAAAGATTAGGAAACTAAAGCCTAGAGATGCTCAGATGCCAGAGGCCTGGGGATTTAAGTTCATGAGGGCAATTAACACTATGGCTGGGGCTGGACCAGTGGACTCTGTACCACCACTGGCTGGTCGTTTTCACTCCACCACTGTCCTGTGAACTGCACCTAACGCTTTCACAGCCATAATTCTTACTTCATGTTTCAGTAAAGTAATTCTTATCAGTTATATACATTATCAGAAGCCCGTATGCATGTCTAAATCCCAAAGTGACAGATGTTATGGCTCCATAGCTGTATCAGTGGACAGGCTGTGCTGCATATGAACATGCCTTCTTTCCATCATCATATGTGTCACTTTGTCATTATGTTTTTATGGCACCAGGGCTCTGCAGGAATGCTGGGCTCCCATCTCGGATCCTGCCCTCTCTCTTCTTTTCTCCCTCCATGTCTTCTTCATCCCCATCTATGGCTACATTACAGCATAGACAGTGATGGTCCCTAAATTTCTATTTCTGTCTGAGCCTCTGTTCCAAGTTCCTGACACATGTTCCAGGTGCTGACTGGATCACTTCCACCTGGATGTAGATTTGGAAAAGCTAGGAAAATGCCAAGAAGTTGTTACTTGAGGCAACAGGTTACTCTTGTTTTTTGTCAGTGGGAGGTAATTAGGTTTATTTGTTTGTTTGATTGAAATGGAGGTACTGGGGACTGAACCCAGGACCTCGTGCATGCTAAGCACACACTCTACCACTGAGCTATACCCTCCCCTCCTTTTCTCTTGTTAATATAGCTCTTTCTAAGACATAACATGAGCTTGTGCTTAGTCAATGTGATGGCTGCAGAGTCAGCACTCAAGTTCCTTTCCCTCCTCACCCCCTTACCTCTGCATACTCTGAGGGGCAAGGACAGAGATTCTCAGGCTTCCCTGTAATCTGCTCCTCAAGAGGAAGACACAAAAGGAATGTTCCATTGAATGAGGCTCTTTTTTCTGCAGGAGGGGAGAAAAGAAATGAAGAAAACTAAAAAACAAACAAAAACCTTAGCATTAGAAATAATCAAAACAGAAGTATGTGCCAAACTCTCTAGAGCAAAATACAGTTTAATCTCCCTGAAAGCTACCCTCGTTTTCACTGATTTATTCATTCACCCAACTAATAATATTTACTGAGCACCTACCATGTGCCAACCATGTCCTAGGCACTCGGGATACAGCAGGGAACAAAGCAGACAAAGGCCCTGCCCGCGAGGATTTTGGAGTCTAGAGGCGGGAGATAGCAAGTCACAAAGCACACATAACTTGTCAGTTTGTGACAAGACAACAGAAGAGAGTTTAGGCAGATGAATTTATATCAGTGATGGACCATGGACTCTAAGGCCGGTGAGGAGACAAGATCATGGGAGAAGATGGTGGGGCAAAGGAACTGACAAGTTTTGGACACATCATCCTCATGGATACTGAAGTCACCCAAGGTGATAAAGGAAGTAGAACTGGAGAGAAACAGGAGGCCCAGGCCGAATCTGTGCCCTTCCACTGGAGAACTGAATGGGAGTACGGTAGCAAGCTGGAGCCCTGAACAGCTCTCTCGATCTCTCTAGGTCTCAGTTGCCACATCCAAAAATGAAATGGCACAAATAAACAATCTATAAGGTGGCTTCCACCTAGAGCTCTAGTTCTGGATGCCCTCAAAGGACAAGTTGAGACAGTTGGTTCAACTTCTTAGCCTCCCTCTGACAGGTAAAAAGGGTCTAATTAGCAAGGGTATCAATTTATCTGTTAAACAGCACTCAGAATTACACTGTGAATTAGGCATTCCTTTATGAGATCGACTCTGGAGACCTCACTAAGTGCTTTAATTAACCATGAAGGAAAGAAAATTCAATTCTGCCACCAATACCTGTCTCTCTCTTCTTTCTGCCATGTCATTCCCACCATTTAAGAGCTGCTGTCAGTGCTCATTTCTGATCAAGTGTGACTTTCTCAGCCTTGTATTTAAGAATGCCCACCAAAGGGCCCCTCACAGACCTCCAGTCATTCCAGTGCTCCTCAACACAGACTGATCGACTCTAAGAATGCTGCTCAGGCCCGTTACTCCCCACTGCCCACCACGACCCACACCCTCTGTCCTCCTCACCAATACACACACACTCACCTCACTCCTGTAGAGGACACAGTGATGTCAGCCTAGCTCCTGCCATAGACAAGTTCCATATACGATTACTGCTTAGTACAGTAAGCATCATCTGCCCTTGTCTGAGAGAGTCTGCTTTCAAATACTGATGACAAATAGTGACTCGTATGAGCCAATCCCCATGAAGAGTGTAGTGTGTTGTTTCATTCTGTTTTGGTCCCTGTGGGATTACACTTAAATTTCATGGTTGTTGTTGAAAATAAATTTACTTAATCATACATTAAAGCTGTACTGGGCAGTAACCAGATAAATGGGGGAAATGGGAACAGTGGATGAACCCAAATAGTGTAGTTACTGGTATAAAGTAAATTCTCTACTACTGCCAACATTTCATGATTCTACTGATCTGAGAATTGAGGGAGATTTTCTCATCATATACTATCATTTTTCCTTCTATTCTTTTTTGCATTCATTTTAAAGTACCAAGATCGGTTGATAATGTTTGATTGTTCTAGTTGAAATTCCCATGTCCCTTGACGTATCTGTTGAATGGCATTCAGGAGCACATGAAACTATTGGTCAGCAAACACAGCTCCCAAGGGTTTCACATTTACGATACGAAATGAAAAATAACTTAAAAGCACCATGCTCCACCCTTCCCTCCTATTTCTCTTACAGACAATGTTTTTATGACAGTTTTGGTCTCTTTTGAAACTATGTATAATTTTTGTGATCTGTTGGAATTCATAAACCTAGAGGAAAGTTTCCTAAAATAAGTAAACAAAACCTAAGGGTGAGAAGAATTTATTTAAGGATTCGCATCCTAGGGAACAAAATCCACACTCAACATCATTATGATTGGAGTGTGGTCAAATGAAACAAATCCCAAAGGATCCTAGTGTTCCAGATGCAGGGAGAGTATTTTTAGTCCTGCTTCAATTCAATAGGCCT